AGAGGAAGAATAAAATAAAAACCAACACATTCTGTTTGATGATTCAGAGGTCGTAGTTTATGTAAATTCCCCGATTCCAAAGGCCTAAGCAAACCCAATAGCAATATGGAAATTAAGCCTTCAACCTACTAATATAGGCGGGCAATGTGAACTGAGCATTTTAAAAACTGAAATCTCTTCAGGGGAGCCAGCAAGTTGTAGATAACAGTTGAATCCCTCTCAAGCCCGGCACCGCGCAAAGACAATGCGCGCAGCGAGAGAGAAACAAAGCCGGCCGCAGAAAGCTACTATCTATAGCACATCGACTCCGCTAACAAGACAAACCACCATTATTTACTAGTAAAGCGATATAAGCTGCATTGAACAACACTAAAGGTTCCAATAGTGTCCCTATTCTCGTTGATCATATCATTAAACAAGTAGTTTTTAAGCAAAAAAAAAACCGACTTCAATTCTCATATAAAAATTTAAGATTATCGTTAATTTCTTCATGATCCTATGATCTGATTTAAGCCAAATTAATATGGGACCACCTTTAAAAAAATAATTATAGAAATCAGTTAACATGGTCCAAAGTTATGCAGTAACATACAATATATATATATATATATATATATATATATATATATTCCGACGAATTGATAAACTTTCTCCTTTTTGTGAAGTCGGTTAAAAATTGTATCCCCTTGAAGGGAATGCAAGCGGATCTTGTAAGATATTGCAGACCAATCGCCCATCTATCCTAAGTGGCTTTGCCTCTCCAGCTGGAATGCTTACCCTCATCGTTGATGAATAAGACGAAAGCTCGTCCCTTTCCGATCGGCCGCAGTGGTGGATCAACGATTATTTGTGCGGAGTCGTCGGTCGATCTCCGCAAAGCTAAGAGCTAGACACGACTGTATTATTTCGTGTACGGGCCAAACCATCGGCACAGTTTGTGAGAAGATTACTGGCATGGAAGATTCGTCACAGCAGGTAAATCAGCCTCCATACTCTTTATATAAACAAAACGGCATCATCACGGCATCATAACTCCAAAATACTTGGCGCCACTTTCGACAGCTTGCACGCCACTACCATTTGCAATAAGTCTGGGGGCGACAGAAGATCGTCAAATCACTTGCTGACAGCACTTGAAGTGCGGCGTAGGAAACTTCAATCGTGAATTAAACGAGAGTGGCCAAACGGTGGTGAGATACGCTATGCAAGTGTGGGCGGAAGGAATTTGCGATAAACAGCCGGGACATCTAAAAAAATTCGCAGACTTCTTCGGAACGTTACGTATACTACGAAACACAGATGCAAAAACGAAACAGTTCCTCTTGTAATGTCATACTGATAACCATCCCAACAAATCTCTGCTTCGCAACGAACCGCCACCCAAACCCGTGAGAAGACACCTACTCGGTTGGGAAAACGACGTTAAGCCCGTTAGGCCCTCCACTCTCGAAAAATTACCGCACAAAAGCTTTGAACGTTATACAACGCGGCATAGTGCGAACCAGCTTCAGCACACGACGGTGGCCGCCCAGCACCCATCAACAACCACTTTCTTGAATCTTCATCCAACTCAATCCTGAGATCACAACAAGTTCAACACAAATCATAGAAATTCCAAATATGTAAAAAATCCTAATTTCCATTAAAGAAAAGCGAACTCTAGCTCTAGTTTTTCCCATCGTTGTTTACATGCACATATTCAATACTTATCTATTTCGATAATATTGAGCCTTAAAGGCGGATTCATCGTTTTTGTTCAGAACTTTTCTTCTTCCATGTGGTTGTTGTTGCGTCGAAGGTATCGCATATTAATTATGGTCCTGATTGCAGTCGGTTAAGGCGTGTCGCAAAGGGGTCCAACGCTAGATGCCTCTATGCACTTAAAAAATTCAAAATATTTTATTTTTCATTAAGTCCCCGAAATCTATACTACTTAAGTCGAGGATATCGCATATGAATTTTGGTCCCGATTGGAATCGGTTAAGACGTCTTCATAGGGTAATCTGAACTTTGAGCCCTGTGCGAAACGCCTTAAGCGACTTCAATCGGCACCAAAATGTATATGTATCTTCGACTATGGTGAAAATAAAATAAAAGTGTTGTATATAGCTTTCATATTTTGTTTATGGAAGCAGAGAAATTTTTGCCAAAAATAGTCTCGTTAGGTGGCGCCAGGGTCGAGATATTTTGAAAAAACCTTATTTACGCTCTGATTTGTTTCACATTTGGCATGTTTATTGGAAGCGGAATAAGACCTAGATTTGCAAAACACGGAACCGCTGATGGCGCTGATGTCAAAATAAAAAGGTCGCTCGACATAAAATGCATGTTTTCTTCCCGTTAAAAATTATTTCAAGAACAATATTAACAAAACTTTTTCAATGGAAATTTTAATAACGTAACGCCAGGTAACGTCACGTCAGATAATTCAGCTGATTAAACAAAAAGCAGAAATGATTTCAACATTCAAAAACTTGGAAAATTAAACTTAAAGATTTCCAATAATACTACAAGAACTTGTATATAAATAGTTTTGCTCAATTCCCAGAGTTTTGCAATTTTGTAATCGAAGTCAAAATTCACTTCTGTTTTTTGTAACGTCACGCCGGCGTTATCTAGGTAAACCTTTTTAAAATTTTGACCTTTTCATTTTTTTTTGACATTTTGTTATACATGTGTCACGTCACGCCAGTTTAAAAATACCCATATTCAAATTAAAAAATGAAATCCTTTGTTATTACTTAAAAATCTGCGTAAAAATATTTCAAATATGAACACCCCCTAATTCAATTTGGAATGACGCTCGTTTATCCTACATTTCTCTTTCATGCTTCGAAAATAGGGTGAGAAAATACCTTTCCAATGATACCCTATAAGTCTAAATCGGTAAAGTTATTGAAGTTTTTATTAAACCAGCCTTTGAAAAAATTTCAAAAAGACTCGCAATTAACATTTTAATCGATAATAAGATTTACTTTTTTCGAGCTTGAGAAAGGATGTTTTAATTTAACTGTTAATATGTTTATACTCACATTCGAAATCAAAATAACAGGTAAATATTTGCAATTTTTCTCTGTAAGTTTGGTATACATATATATTGTATTATTCAGTTTTGCTATTTTTAGGGTATTAATATTTTGCAACTTTGTAATCAGGTTCGTCTGCACCTCCTTTAGGAAATTTTCTTTTTTGTATAATATTCTGAAAAAGAATTCAATAAATTAAAATTAGAGAAAACGTTGTAGTTTGACTGGATAACATTTTGTTTTTTTTTTTGTTTTATTCACCTGAATTTTCTGCCACTCGCGATCCAGTTCGGCCTTTTCGCTTTTTTCCGTTTTGTTTTTCCGTGTTCGTCTTCCGTCTTGCATTTTGACACCATATTGAAATGCTGCTTTCGGTAAAGCCTCTTTGGTGCTCATATAATCGGAATATTCCTCTTGGGTATCAAAGTCCCATCGCCCGATTGGTCCCTTTTTATTTCCCAAATCCATTTTTGTGTAGTCCACTTCGTCATCTGAATCATCAATGGCATCATTCATTTCTTCTAGTCCGGGATAGCACTCAGCATAACCTTCAGGCTCGTTGGTAAAACGTGAGGCTATAGTTTTTGTAATCTTAGGTGGCGGTGGTATGGTAATCAAAGGCTCTGTGTCCTCGACACCCTTGGCATCAACGAAATATGTGCCAGCTGCGACTTTCGGGATATTTTTGTCCAATTTAGCAGTCTCATTCTTGGAGCTCGGTTGATAGTCTCCAATATCGTCATATATGCTATCACCCAGTGGTTTACCGGATGAAGTCGTAATCCCATGTACTCCTGTCCCAATCATGTTTATTGATTGTTCCATTTCTTTTTCATAAAAAAGAGGCTTATCTTTGTCACGCTTCTTGTTTTTCTTATTGCGGCCACCAGCTCTTAAATAGGAGAGAATTTGTGACAATTTATTTATGACGATGTCATTGGTTGTAAGTGTGGCAATATCTTCACGATTTACGGGAACCTCAAATTTTGAACGAATTAAAGTTGTTGGTATATCGCTTTCATTCAGTTCGTCTTCCAAATCAATAACGTAGGCCATTCGGCCGGGAGCAAAGAGTTCAATTCGGGGTACATCTTTTGATCGGCGCGCTTGAACTAAACTAAAAATGTTACGAGCCATAGCACTTTTAATAGCCAAATGGTCATCTATGTCTTTGGACTCAACTTCAGCTTGCTCAGCAGCTGCGGTTTCAGCCAACTTTTCAGTTGCTGCCGCTACAGCCATAGCTTGTTCTTCTACCTCTTGGGTTTGCAATTCAGATCGAACCTTTTGCAAAAGTGCATAATCGAGACCTTTTACCAAGTGAGTGTGCCGCATATCACCACCCAAGAATTTCGATTCCTGAATAATTCTACGGCGACGTTCTGCGGCATCAATGCCTGATTTCAAATCAGGAGCAACAGCACGATAGGCATTGGTACTACTGTGACCAGGAGTGCTAACATTTTGATAATCTGGGTTAGCACCATCACGACGTTCACGTGCTCGATCGCGGTACTTTTCCGAAAGCTGCTGTAACTTGCCATCTTCTTGTTTCTTAAGTGCTGCATAAAAGTTTTTCTTTTTTCGTCGCAAATCATTACGTTCACTACTGGTACCTTGTGGCTTTTTCTTTTCCGTTGACGACGAAGGAGCAGTTGTGGCATTTATCGAAGGAGTACTACCTGGTGGTGGATGACGTGGTGTGGCCAAGAGCTTACGAAAATCATCGTTTGTTAGACGAACGGACTCAGACATTTTTCCCAAAAAATTGGGGGTATAAAATACCTCACTGTTAAAATATGTGTTTACGAAAATATGCACAAAGTAGTAATGTAAGAAAAAAATCGATGTTTCCGTTCCATTGTTGCAATTCGATAAATCTTTTATTCGATAGACCC